TTTGAGGCAGAGTCTTACTCTGTCGCCCAGGCTGGAGTGCACAATCTCAGCTCACTGCAACCTTAACCTTCTGGGTTCAAGCGATTCTCCTGCTTCAGCCTCCTGAGAAGCTGGGATTGTAGGTGCGTGCCAGCATGCCTGGCTAATTTTTGCATTTTTAGTAGAGATGGGGTTTCACCATGTTGGTCAGGCTGGTCTTGAACTCCTGACCTCAAATGATCCACCTGCCTTGGCCTCCCAAAATGCTGGGATTACAGGCATGAGCCACTGTGCCTGGCCCTCTTGAACTCTTACAACAACCCTGTGAGATAAATATTATTATTAATTTGACTTTATATGTGTGATAACTAAAGGGCTGAAAGATTAATTAGACTTGCCAAAGACCTAGTCTGTAGTAGAACAGGGACTTTTAACCAAGAAGGGGCAGCTCCAGAAACCTCACTCCTAATCACTGCCCTTTGCTGCTTTGCATTTTGGGCATGTGGGAGGATGAAGATAATTATTCATTTTATCTTAGAATCACAGCACCAAGGAACAAAGAGGAATGAGTTAATTTTTGTTGTTTCCTTAATATGGGGTAGGTGATAGAGGGATACAAAAAATAATTAAGGTGTTCTTATATTCAACAGATACACAATAATTTATTTATGGAAGGCATGAACTCAAAAAGCGAATACATAGTATGAGGGTAGAACCGAATAAGTGCTTTAGGAGTTGAGAGAAAGAATAGATTCCTCCTGTCAAAGGTCATCTTTTCAGAGGACCTTGTCACAGACTAGCTTTTAAAGAACATGTCAGATTTAGATATGAGGCTATTATGGATAGGGAGACCTGGGAAAGCCTGAGAAGTTCATGGTTGAGTGTGTAGTTACCACTTTAGTTCCAGATGAAAGACTGTGAGCTCCAGTGTTTAAATACTTGGGAGTAAGCAGTAGATATGCTATACTGAAAACCTAGAAATCTAGATGATAGAAGACCTTCTTATCTTTCTTGGTAACTACTTCTGCATGCTAATAATGTTCCAGGCAGATACCAGCTAGGAAGTGTATTTGTCAAATAGGACAAACAGAAAAGACAAAATAAGAGAGACTTTGTCAGAGAAGATTCGCCTGGTCCCAGTGAATAGCAGGTGTGAAAGAGAGGAAGTCAAGATCATCTGGATAACCAGTAGAATTGGGAAATCCCATAACATCTCTGTTATATTCTCCTTGGCCAATGAACTTTAGGGTGAGAGTCATCACCTCTTCTTCCCCTCCTTACTACGCACAGTAAGTTCATTGTTAATAATAATGATATCCACCAATAAAGAGAGCAAATCCCCAGGATCGTGGATCGTCTTTCTAAAGACTAAAATACTCAATACCTAGAACTGTGTTTGGCACTTACAAGTGTATTTATTCATCCATGCAACCAAATATTTAAGCACCTCCTTAGCTCCAGGCTCTATAGTAGGCACCAAGGAATGACACAATGCTAGACAAAGCATGGGCCAAAACTTTAAGGGGTTTTCTAGAGTCTGGTTACAGGGAGAGATAAATCAGGTTATTTAAAAATACTTTGATAAATGTTATGATCAGTAACATGATCATATATCCCCCCCTTGCCTGGGATGGTCCCAACTTGGATGATAAATGTCATCGCTCATTCAACTATAGGAAATAGGGTCAGTACATAAAGTGAGGATTGTATAGGCAGATGTTTAATAAACTGTTTGAAATGGGATCATAAAGGCCTTTATGGTGGGAAAAAAGTCTCAGCTGATACCTACGGGCTGAAGAAGGCAAGAGATGGCAAGGAGAGGAGCAGTGGTACAGAGCTAGACAGATGGACACTCCAAACAGTGTTTGCAGACTGAATGGATTGATTCGTGAACACCTAAAACATTGTGAAGGGGGCAAATCACACAATTTTTCCATTCCTAAGGATGCTTCTACAGTCACTGGATGTGTGTGCATAATATTTCTTTCTGATCTGGGAAGGGAAATTTTTAAAAAAGTGGAATTGTACCCTGGATGATACGTATAGTGCCTTACAGTCTTAATATTATGCTTCATAAAACGCCATCCCAAGCAACTTGTTAGAGAATGAGAAATAGCCCTGGTTCTTAAAGGCCACCTGATTTGCCCCTTTCTTCCTAGTTAGCCACTTAATTATTTTTCAGTTATTATATTCCAGTTTTATTTCTTAAACTTGATTGAAAGCTTCTTGAAGCAGAGACCATACCATTCTTTTCTATCTACCATTCTGTACATATTGGCTCATGAAGATTGGGAGTTTGGTGACAAGGAGGTAGAGGGATCCTTTTATTTTTTCTTTTTGTCTTATTATTCCTGTCCCCAAATACAGCTTTGCAAGCCATTTTAATTCTGTGACTATAGATTTTCTGATAATGTTTAGTTCTTGAGTTTATTATTTATGGCCACCTTGCTTTCTTCTTATTTAGGTCCTTCTGAGTTATTGGATATGGCAGACAGTGAAACGTGAGTGTTGCCTTTTATTATATAGTCTAGATTATTTTCTTCAGAGCATATCTGGGAGAATAATTTAATCTATAGAGCATATCATAGGTAATTTTAGTTTAATTCAAAGTCCACTTTCAACTGTTCATAACTGTGCAGGGCTAATTGCCTAAATAAAAAATTACACAATACAAATTGATGACAATTGTCATAATGCTTGCCTCCATAGTCAATGGTAATCATTTAGAACTTGCTTCAAGCATTGTACTTCTATACTGGTACATCTTGGAATGCTGAGAAGCCTAAATAATTACACTTACCTTTTAATATACTTATCACATTTATTCTTTCTTAACTTGGGTTTCTGAGAACATGGGGCCCTACTGCCCTAAGGAATTCTTCACATGTAATGACATAACTCTTCTCTGTTAGTGTAGAACAAGACAAGTTATGAACCACCACTGAAGAACTAAGAACGTAGTGACTGCATTTTCTGTCTTCTGTGATTCAGAGAAGGGATCCTAATTGAAAACATCATCCACTCTGAGATGGTGCCTAAACTGATAATAATGTTTGTTTTCAACCTTATTTTTAAAGCAACGAAATAGCTACTGCTTCTTATTTAGAGGAACAAAGATAGACTGTACAACTAATCCTGAAAGCCATATTTGAAAAGGTGTAAAGATGAGTTGGTGGGGAGAGGAATGAGGTGGTGAGTAGTTAAGCACACAGGAAGGAGGAGAAGTAGAAATGAATAGAATGGAGAATGGATGAGAAGCAGTAGAACCGTGAGTTAGTATACATGGAAGAAGCTGTCTATTGCTCCATAGAGCTGGTCCACAGGCCAGCACCTCTTATTGACAAGATTATAAGTGGTGCCATCACTTACCCCCTTTTGCCTTCTCTAAGGGCTGCTATGACTTTTCCTGAAACACTTTGGCATTAAGCGTCTTGGTGACTTTGGGCTCAGTATAGGAATATCCTCCTCCCTATACAGCCTGTCAGTGATGGGGAAATAGCCAGTTTCCCTTGCCCCTTCCCACACTGAGTGGCTGGCCTCAGGCCTGCTGCCTCCTGGGGAGAGCTCTGGCTCTCAAACTCTCCCAGAGTCTCACTGTGCCTCTCAGATATCCTCTGTGGCTGCCCCCTCCTTCCACCTGCCACTCACACAGAATCTAAAGTGGATAGAGCAGAGTGGGTGTTGGCCTGGCTCTTTGAACTTGGGTTCTCAGGAGATATTCCTCTGCAGGCTGAGTGGCCATCAACCAAGGGCTGCATGCTGTGCCTGAAGGGCCAGAGGCACTCCACACTGCTCCCTGTTCCTTCACCCAGTGCCCTTCTCACTGTGCTCAAATGTATGAACAGAGAGAATGATACCCAGTGTTCAGCTACATCTGTACAATTGGTCTATTTAATACTGCATTGACTGTAACCTAAATCAAATAGTAGTAGTTTTTTAAAAAGAATTACTAAGCCTGGTTAACCAAAACTGTTTTGAAAGGGGACTGGAGTCAGATATTAGGATCAGGTGATGACTAGCTCAAGGAATTTTTAGAAATTCCCTTCCCGAGCCCCCAGAATGTACCCTACAGGCAAGGTCTCAGCAGCCTATAGGGGAGGAGATTGAGGAGCACCCAACATCAGCTCCCCTCACCCCACTCCCTGCTGCCTGCAGCCCCTTTATGGGTGGTTTTCAATTTCATCTTTGATTTAGGGGTGAGACTGCACTGCACAAGGCTGCCTGCCAGCGGAACCGGGCTGTGTGCCAGCTTCTGGTGGATGCAGGAGCATCTCTGAGAAAGACGGACTCCAAGGTAACTCGATGAGTGAGTGCAAACATCCTCCCACTGGGCGAGATGGAAGACACTGTTGCCTTTGCTTGTGACCATAGCACGGACATCCTTTCTGTGCTTATGGAAGTGCCTGGGGATTTGGAAAAAGGAGGAAAAAATAGAGTGCTTCATTTAGAGAAACTGTGATTTAAATGTATAAGCACAAAAGGAGGGCGTGTGCTTGCCTATGGGGCTTTATAAACCTCTGAACATGTTGGCCTTGGGACTTTGGGGTTGTCCTGCTGAACGCTAGCAGCCAAGTCAGGGAGTGGAGGTCCAAAACCCAAGGAGAGGGGTCCGGACCATGTTCAAAGACTTTGGCCTGGCTACTGAGAAGCCCATTTGGGGTTTTCCTTCAGTACTTACTCCAATGTGGTTTAAATTCTACGATTTATATGGCCCCTTATGTGGATGCCAAAGGGATTACTTCCCAGCTCCCAGGTTGGTGGGATTTGGCTTTGATATGGTAACAGTCTTAAATCTGGTGTGCATATGTGGTTCTTCATTTTAAAAAAATTCTTTCCATTTGTTTTCTAATACTATTCTCTAAAAGTTGACCTTAGAAATTAGATAGCATGGGAATTACTGTCATTTATAGGTATAGGAGCAAAAAACCTAGAGAAAGTTACACATAACCTTGGATCAGTAGCTGAGCCTTAAATTAAATTGAGCTCTTTTGAGATCCAGCCCAGAGTTGTATCAGCAGGTTGGTGGTTCTCATTTGTTGCCAGAACACCCCAGCCATGTAACAAAATCGGTTTGTTTATAGAATCTGTTTTGTTGAGGTACAGTGATACCTGTGGCCCTGTGGCTTGAAATGTGGTTGGTTTCTTCACGGCAAAAGTTATGTAAATCTGGACTTAAAGTGTGCAACTATCTTAATAACCGGGTGGTGAGGCCAGAAATGGGTAGTGTGGCATGTGTGCCAACCTTGATAGCATCAGCAGATGGAGGTGAGGCCTCAGGGGAAACTGTTTAGAACTGAAAACAGGCTGCACCATGAGTTGTTTCAATTTATAGAGCACACCCAAGAGAAAGGGTTGAAAGATTGAGGAAAGGAAGAGTTGTAACTTAGTAGAGTTGACCCAGGGCTCAGCCTACAAGAAAGAAGAGAGAGAGAGACAGGAGTTAGTTTACATAGAAGAGCAACCCCATACAGCAGGGGTGTCCAATCTTTTGGCTTCCCTGGGCCTCACTGGAAGAAGAATTGTCTTGGGCCGCACATGGAATACATTAACACTAACAATAGCTGATGAGCAAAAAAAAAAAAAAAAAAAAAAAAGAAAAAAGAAAATCTTATGATTTGAAAGTTTACGAATTTATGTTGAACCTCATTCAAAGCCACCTGGGCTGCATGTGGCTTGCAGGCTGCGGGTTGGACAAGCTTGCCGTAGAGGATTCTGATAAGCTCTGAGAGTTTTACAACACTCTCGGTAGATTCCAAAAAAGAGTGAACCACTTAACTGTAGACAGTCGCAGAGAAGAATCTTAATATGTAGATGAGCCCTTCATTAAGCAGGTACCGAGTAGCTCAGGTGTTGGGCCGATGATTGTAACCATGACACATAGCTCAATGACTTAGAAGCCTAATTAATGGCTTAAGCTCCATTAGATTTATTTAAGTGATAAGAATCTGCCTATGTGCAATGTTTTCCCTGGGGCCTCCTCAATCTGTAGTCTGCTTTATGAAATAACTTTGCCTCCCAAGTGGGTCTCTTTCCTTTCTGAGCCAGTTGTGTTGTATAGAGCTCTCTACTTCCCTGGAAACTCGCCAGCACCCTTGCTTTCTGGCTGCCTAGGCATCTCAAACACACTTGAGCTGTGTCCTGGTTTCTAGTGGTCTGTTACCTGTCCGGCTAGCTAATTTGGTACGTTATTTCAAATGGCAGATATTAGGTTGGTGCAAAAGTAATTGTAGTTTCTGCCAGTAAAAGTTAATACTTTTTTCAGTGTGATGTTCTTCTCAGATGTTATTTGTACTCAGATGTTTTGATGTTTAACCTGATTGAGAAACACACACCATGCAGTCAAGATTAATGGAGCCAGGTTACGGAGTAGGGCTAGCCTTGTTGGGACCACTCAGACAACAGCAGGGCAAATGCCTCTTTACCATATAAAGGCTGGTCCTACAGTCAACTCAGATCATTTTTTTTAAAAAAAGAGAAGCCGTGAAAAAGAGGGACAAATCAAACAGGAATCAGGAGACCTGGCTCTTGAGCAGGTCTGCTTTTTTATCTTTCTAAGTTTCTGAATCAGATAAAGGACTCAGTGTTCATGGAAACGTCTTTCTATTTTGTGTTGTGTATGTGTCTGCTTTTTCTTTTTAAGTACAAGTAACTTATTTTTATAATTATAAACCATCACATAGAAAACCAGTAATGTAGGAAGATATGCCCCCAAAAGCAAACAATTGCTGGCAACCTCACAACCTAGACCTAAATATCATTAAACTTTGAATGCTCCCTCTTCACATGTAGATATGCCTATTTTTCTCTCTCGCTGTTTTTTTTTAACTAGATGAAATCATACATACATGATATCATATAACTTTTCACTCAACGTTATTATTCTAGAGATCTTACCATATGAAATAATATAACTATACTTCATTACTTTTTAAGGATTTTTAAAATTCTGTCATTCTGTAACTGGATGCTAGTTTAAAGTTGAATGTGATAATTACAACTGAATCTTCTCCTGGAATTTTTTGAAGAGAAGCAGCATCCTGAGATGCAGCCTATGAGATGCTGAGATCTCCTATTAGATATCACTTCCTTAGAGATCAACTCAAAGGCCCACTTCAGCCATCTCTCTGAATATTTGGAAGCTGGAAATTCCAACCTCATTATTATTGAAGTAAAGACACAATTGTCTACTAAGACTGCAAACAAGTTGAATCAAAATTATTATAGGAACTTCAAGCTGGTGGTGAACTGCTAAATCACAAATAAATAAAATTTTAGAAAGATTCTAGAGCCGTTGGTAATTCCCTTTTATCCTGTCCCCAGTAGGCTCTGTAGAGCAGGTTGGATTGAGGTCACCAGTATCTGTTGGGATAGCTGAGATGACAGCTGAGAAGTCTGTGATATTTATCAAACTCACGTGCTTATGAACATGGAGCTATTTCTTTGGCACAATGATCATGCCTATACTCTTCCTTTAGAACTTAATATAACTTTTTAAATAGTTAAAACTATATCATTGAACAAAAATTAGAAATTTTGAGGAATTCTAAGTAATACCTACAGGCATTCAAAAGAATGGACACCTTTTCCTCTTTACTGCTGACTTCTTATTCAATGGCCTCAATGAAAAAATATCAATATATATGCAAATGTGTGTATACGTGTATATACAAATGTACAAAAGGTATTATAGTAGCCTGTAAGAAATTATGTGATCATTTAAGATGTTGATGTAAAGAATGTAATGACAAAAATTTATGATATATTACTAAGAAAGGTTGTAAAACAGTAAGTAAATGAATTGTGGTTTTGTTTTTATAAAAAATATGTATAGAGGCATATAAAAGACAAAACCTAGTTATCAATGAAAGGTTAATAACGGTTATCTTAGTTTGGTGGAATGATAGAGATATTCCTTTTCTTCTTTGTGCTTTTCAACTTTCCCAAGATTTCTTTAATCAATATCTACCACTTTTGTGTTGAGAAACTAGCTTAGTTTTTAAAGAGATGAAATGCTATAAATTGTGGAGAACTTAACTGAAGTCTTTGAAACCCACAAAGAAAACCTTTCAATTTTTTCTGGCTATCACTTTCTTTTAATTTCTGAATGTTGATTTCCCAAGTTTAGAATAATAGCAAGAGTCCTAAACTAGAAATCTAAATGCCTGCCTCCTTATTTTTAAATTCAGTAATTTCTATCTCCCCATGTTCCAGAAAGACTCTGTGTTTTAAAACTCACTTTACCCAACTGTTTCCTCCTGTATACTGTTAACCTCTGTGAACTTCTGTTTCTCTAGTATAAACCCCACACATCAAAAGTGATAAACTCTTTCCCTTTGATTTACCAATCAGTCACACATTTTAATTTAATGCTCATATAAGACAAGAGATTTGAAAGTGTCTTGTAAACTCTAAAACACAAAATGTGAAAGGATCCTTACTAGCAAGTATCTTTGGGTAGCTCTGTTTCTGTGATTTCTGTGGGTTTTTGTTTTTTTTTTTTTTTGGTTTTGTATTTCACAACCAGCGCTTGTATCTCTTTCCTTCTCACTATTTACGTATAGGGTAAGACACCTCAAGAGAGAGCACAGCAGGCTGGGGACCCAGACTTGGCTGCTTACCTAGAAAGCCGTCAGAACTATAAGATCATTGGCAATGAGGACCTGGAAACTGCTGTTTGACCCTGGTATTTGGGCAAAGAGAACGTGAGCAAGCGTATCACATCTGCCCTCCCTGCGATCGGGCAGCTACCCTGGAAGAAGCTGATGGAATTCATATATCTGTCTCTCTCCTGCAAGAATCTACCTGAGACCATGCCACTAGTTTTTAAGGGCTACCAAGATGTACAACAGAACATGATAGCCCATTGAGAAGGAGGCAGGATACCTGGAGATTTGTGGAATACAGTGAGAGTTCCACAAAATTTGATCCTTATTGCTTCCAGCAAGTAGCATGAACTTCTGTGTTTACCTGTATAATTTATTTTAAAGATTCAAAGGATGTTTGTATAAATGGCACTGCTCCCTCCTCCCCCTATGCATTGATTTTTTTTCCCCTGTACCATACAATTCTACTGTAACTACCTATCAACTTAAAAAATATATTATCTCTTCTCTTTACATTCAATCTTGGAAGACCACAAGATTGTCTGAAGGCCTTCTAAAATCCTCTGAATGTCCTGCAGAAATACAACTGTAAAACCACTTCAATTTCCAAGACTAAATATGTCAAGACTATTTAGTGACTCTGCATGTCCTCCCCACCCACCCAACCCTCCATTTCATTATATAGGAGCTGGGAAGTGCCACGTGGATAATGTCAACTTGTGTGCTGTATCTCTGAGGAATGGTGAGGTGGCATGGGAGATGTCTGTGCTTGGAGGTACCTCAGAGAGGTAACCCAGGGGTCAGCCCAGGCTGCTGGGCTGTAGCCAATAGCCATGCAGGACTGGTTCAGCTTGGGCTGTCTGTACAGCTCCGTACTGCCTATGTGTAGCCATCTTTGCCTTTTGCTGCAATAGAAGATGAGCAAAGGATTAAACAGAGGTCCACAGCTAGTCTGCAGAACCATTCAATTTTAAGCGCTGTTTAAATTGCCCAGGAGAAAGTCATGTGTGGAAACTGTGGTTCCGGGAAATGGAGCACTCTAACAATGCTTCCAAGCTTTGTTGAGTGATAATAGAAAGCAGCATAATTGACTTGGAAAAAAAAAAAAAAACAGCAAAAGCAAAAGTAGCAACATATGTCAACATATGTCACTGAAGTAGAGAAGAGCCATTGGAATGTTGCACAGAGGCTAACAACTATAGACTGTTGGATACAGTGGTGAGAGGGACCCCATTTTAGGTTTTTCATTTAGGTTTTTGGTTTTCATTACTCCAAGGAATTCTTGACTCAAGGACAAAAGCTCGTTGTATGAGTTCCAATGCCAGATTTATGGAATGCCCGGATAATTCAGAAGGATACTTCAACTATTATTTGTCAGGCCCAAAGGTTGTACTTGATAACCCCATTTTCTATGTATGGGGTACTCTAATATTAATTATTTTATCTACTTTATTTTCCCCTTTCAGAAAGTCTTTAGTGCAAACCACTGTGGGAATCTAGCCAGAAATGTCTTTCAGATAGTTAGAACTACAACATCTAAACCTGCCACAGATCGAATGGTACTTACAGGTACTTCTATTAGGGACTCCGTGATACCTAAAATATCAGAAGAAAATGTTTGTCTAACTTTCTGTCCAAGTATCTACTTGACTTGGGGGTAAGTCAAAAATAAAAGTGGGTGTCCAAGGGTTCTGCTTTGGTGAAATCTGATGTCTCCTGAGCTTATTTCCATTTTGTCCTTGGACACAGCAAAGTGCTTCCCTACTGTTTCTGCATTTGACGATGAATGATGGTGTCTCTACATTTAATTTAAAGGTCTAATGGTGACATTTTGCTTATCTGAGTCACATTTCAGTCACATATCATCATTTTGAAAGTACGGCTATGATGTACCATGTTAAATAGGAACAGCCTTTCAGTGGATGGGGATTCTATTACCGTAGTCTCTCCGTAGTCATTTCAAAATCAAATTGTTGGTGGGAAGATGGATTGGGTGGTGAATGATCTACGTCCATTTATCAGCCTCAGAAATGGAACTATCTTTTGGATATTACAGGAGGGACTGCAGCAGATTGTTTCCAGAAGCCGCAAAAATATACTCCAGGATAATTTAATCACTGGACTTCTGCTGGGAGATTTTTAGTTGGTGGAACTGTCAAGGAAATGTGATGACAGAAATATGATCCTTAAGACAGACTGGAACCTGGCTTTGAATGGCATCTTCCATTCCCTGGATTGAGCCAAACATTTGGCCAAGCAGTCAGTTACCTAGTTATTACTGCTGGGATGAAGAACTCTGTTTTCCTCAACTGCCGTCTCACATTTCTCCGTGAATGCTTCCAAGTAGCCCAGAGAAAATTTAGGGTATAGGTGGCAATGGGCCAATTTAAATAGCTCCAATTGAGGACATAAATCTGTAGCATGAAAAATGATGAGTTAGTACTATAAGATCTCTGATGCATCTGGAAATTGTTTTTTTAAAAAAGGCATTAGAGTTCTATATTATTTGTGGAGACCGATATTTGACATATCTCTTTGAAAAAAGCAAGTAACGCTAGGACTTGGAATTTCCAAAATAAAGTGAGCAGAGTAACCACATATGTTATGGATTTAACATTAAACCACCTCTTGTAGCATTTTTTAAAAATTGGCCCTGAGCTTTAGAAAGAGCTAAGACCTTATGGTCTAGCTCTTATGAGTTTCCATCTCAGCTTAAGTATATTGTATCCCCTCTAATGGGGCATCAGGAAGTAGAAAAGCAAGTGGTCTAGTCCTGGTCTGAAGAGCCACATAACTTTAACAGACATAAAAAGATGTACCCATAGAAATATCATTTCTACAAAGACTACTGAGACAGTGCTGCAAGAGACAGCTTAGCTGCCTCCTCTGTTTGTTTCTTTGTGTTGGGATTCCATTTTTAGATGAGATTGATAGAAGAATGGTAAATTAAAAGTTATTAAAAGACAACATTCTGTAACCTGAAAGGTAGTCATGTTTGCAAGCTTATATTTTAATATTGTGCATTTAACAAAATAGAACACAGTTAAACTGTGTTTATCATATTCATGGACTTTATAAAGAATAAGAGAGATGATTAGTAAGCCAACAATGAAATAAATACCATGACTAGGAATTTTGCTTTGAGAGTTTGTTTCCTCTGTAGATGTGATAACCAAAAACCAATGCAATTTTTGAAACAGAATTTAGCTGGCAAATGCACAGTGATGAAATTAGTAATGACTGGTGGAAAGTCACACATACCTGTTGCTCCATATCCATTCAGAATGGCTGCTTTGGCAGATCTGCCTGTGCTAGGAGCTACTCAGCATCACTTCATTTTCATTTGGATCTAGTGAGAGTCCCTTTGCCTAATGAATTCCTAAAATTTATTTATTTACTAGAACCCTCATATTATTCATGGCTTAAAACATGACACACCATCTTCATTTTATTACATGTCAATTTTATTAATATTTAGGGGGTTTTTGTTATTAAAATGGCAGATGCTTTTTATAAAATGTTTTAATGCCACAGATGAGTATCACATCCAAAGTCAAGGCATCCTTTTGTTCTGGTGTTGTGTCCCACTTCCCAAAAATAAATGCTGTTAACACTGATGAACATTGCTGCTTGTACATCATGTCAGAAATACTCCATCTGTTCATACACAGGCATTTATGTATATATGCATAGACATTCACATAGATATATAGACATTTATTTATATACATATACATGTATGTATACCGTATTCATGCATAGTGCATAGGTCTAGAAAAGAGGAAACATTTTAAAAGCATGCTGATCATTTGTCTATGTGTAGTAAACACCAACAGGCAAAGACAGATTAAACAGAATTTCCATTTATTTTTTGTTTCCACCATTGCTAGGCTTAGACCTGTCATGGCATTACTACAATTGCATTTACTATTTTCTATTGCCTGTGTCATAAAATTCATGACCAGGAGATCCTGTAATTGTTTATGTTGCCTTCCATGAAGCATGAAACCTACCATAGCCTCAAGACTTATCTAAGCTACATGTGGATTTCAAGTAAAGGAGAGTTCTTTCCTCTGTGATGCTTACATAACTTTACAAGGCTGTTTGTGAAACTAACAGTCAGTAGGTTGCCTAATGATGTTTAATTAGGGCAGGCTACTGCTGAGAAGGTGTAGTACCTTTGGTGTAGTATGGGGTCTGAGCAGCTTGTCTTCCTTCCAGAAGGAGTAGCTAATGAAATCACTGAGTACAGCATGGTATTTTATTCAATTATGCTATTTAAAACTGGGACTTTATTAAAGTGGCTCATCCTAACCATCAAATAAAGCTATTAATTGCTCTATTTAAATGAATTATGTTCATTTTAGGAAAAGAAGTAGAAGAGCATCTATTAGCTTTTTGATTAATCTTTAACACTTATTTAATATAAAATGGTTTCTGCGTCCTTTTAATTGAACCAGCTTTGAATCTCTCAATTCTTCCCACTCTGAATCTCGTACTCAGCTGATTAGAAGTCCTACAGTTCCTTCTCTGCCAGGTCTTTCAGAACAACTTGGACTCTACCCTTTTCTGTGTCCCTGCCATCCTTCATCTTTTGTCCCTCGAAATTTTGGGCCACAGCAACAGTCCTGTCCCTGGACTTTCTGCCTACTACTGTCAATAATTTTGTCACACAGCTACAAAAATCTTTCCCAGATATTATGCCAAAAATAGATCAAAATGAAATTACCCTCTGGGACAAATATACCTTTTATTCAAAGGACACATAGATGTCCACTGACCTTGATCATCTTATAGAATTATGGTAAGCATGATTCCGAAAAGTAATCTATCAGGTTTAGCAAATATCTGTCTTAGTCACATGAGAGTACACAATGATGTAAGCCATGTGCCTCCTTGATGTCACCTGGAGGAGTAGGTTATATATCTTACACTCCTGAGGGCCATCTGTGGATTTCAAGTTGTCTCCTCACAGCTTAATGAGAAACTTGAAAATAAGAATCAAGAAAGCAGTCATGCCCTGGACAACCTGCTCTCCTGGGACACTGAGATTTACTGACTAGGTCCCAGAAATAATGCCAAAAAATAATTCTTAGGCTGTTGTAGCATAGATTTTACAGTAGAAATATGAAAATTGAATGGTGTCTTCATCATGCATAGACTCTAGTCTGTTTACACTTGTATTCAGTTATGCATGCAATCATGCGCCCACGAATCAATCATACATGCATGTCATCATTATTTGAAAAATATTTGTCACTCTGATGCAGGCACCATACTAAAGATATAACAATGAATGCAATAGACAAAACTCTTGATTTCATGGAGCTGGCATCTAGAAAAAAAGACAAATTCAAATATGATAAGTTCTGTGCAGGAGAAAAAAAGGGTGTCCAGCATGGGCTGCAAATTCAACCAAGGCTTTATTGTGTCAGCCACTCATTAGCTAGCAATGTTTTAGTTCAATGAAAACATATATAAACTAGGAAAAGAATAATATTTTTATTTCCATTTTATTGGAGTCATGGTAGTTTCTTAAAAATGTATCTGAAACTAAGATTTTAAAACAGCACTTAAAAACACTACTAAAATGAAGGCTAAGACTCATTTATTCTAGGTCTCAGGATAGAACTAGGAAAAATAAGCAGAGATTTCAGCGGATTTTGACTAAACATAAAGAAGATGAAGCATATATAATATGTGATAGTGGAGTGGGTATCACAGAGTTATAAACTTTTAGCCTCTGGTGGTATTTAAACAGAGGATACCTGACTACCTTGACGGGTGTTGGGATTAGGAATATGAGATTTGAGGGGGCTGAAATTAGATGCTGTGATTTTTCAAAAGAAATTTTTTAATGGCTTTGTTGAATGGCAGGATTTTATTTTTAAAACTCATGAAAATCTTGATTTTTTTGATTTTTAAAATGTTGCTTTATAACTGAGAATATTTAAAATATCCAGAGGGAATGGCCATTAGTTATCATTTAAAAATTTTTAAACTAAACATGAATTTAAGAGCTAGAGAAAAGAAAACATACTAAAAGGTATAATTTAAGTGTTTAAGTTTAATTTATTAAAAATACTCTTGGAAGCTCATAAATTTTGATCAATATTCTTAGTTATTGTCAAGTAAAAATCTGTTAGAAATCTGTCTTACTGTCCATCCAATATAAAAAAGTGCTGTGGTTTGATATTCTAAGAGTTAAGTGTAATCTAATATAACCACAGAAGAAAATTCTGCCTGTGAGATATTTGGGAGCCAAGTAAATACACATGAAAGGCAATCATGGAAAACTCCTTGGCTTCTGCTATCAGGGTGGCAACCGCAAGGGACGTCTAACCCATGGAAATAAGAAAATAGTGATCCAAGTTTTCACCCATCTTTCAAATTTCAGTATTTTGAGCCAAATGCCATCTGAAATGGGAGCCTTTCATAGTGGGAAATAATGAAATTATCTTTTTCCTCAACCCTTTAGTGAAACACAATATAGTTTTCACTCTATGAGAGCTTAAACAACTCAAATCTATACTGTTTATTAATAACAATTTCAAGAATTAAAAAGTTAGTGCTTTAGCATTACATTTTTTGACACATTTGAGCTTCAATACAGATAATACATTTTAGATGAATAAACTGAATCTCAGCACAGTGAATACAGCCTGTGTAGATTCATATAGTAAATGATAGTGCTGCAGCCAGAACTGGGTCTTTAGAAATTACATATTAACGTGTTTTCTAAGTAAGTCATTTTCCATCATTGCCTTCAAGGATGTTTTATATCACTTGTTCAGATTTCCACAATGTAGAAGATGCCTCCATAAAAAAAAATGTTTACCTAAGGTTCTACAGAAAGAATGAGTTAGAAATAAGGGAGAGTATGAAATCAAACAGTCAGAGTTTTTGCTATCGGAGAGAGACTAGTCAGCTTGTACTTAGTTCAAGGAAAGAAAAGTCAAATGTTTGCATACCAGAGCAGATTTCAAGAGAAGAAATTAACAGTGAGGGTTAATGACTTCAAGTTTTTTTGTGATTCTCCGCATTTAATAAATGTTAGTCCTATTTTTTTCCTTGGAAATAACTATTAGGATGATATAATTTCAAAATGCTACACCAGAAAGTATTAAAAATGGCCCCGACATCCAAAGCTCTATTGCTCTAAGTTTATGGGTGGGTATGCAAGCTAAGTGTTATGATAATATATAGCCACATATATAGAGGCTTAATACACCTATGAGAAGTTCTGGCGTACTTGACAAGAGCAAGCAGACTTGAAATATCCTTCAATGCAGAATCTCATACTTTACAAGGGACGTTTATGGGCAGATTAGTGAATATATAGAAGGAGGATGTTTGATTTGGAAAAGAGACAAAATTGGATTAGGAATAAGAATATGTAGAGGAGATAGGTTAAGTAGGACTGTTAGATTCAATCTACAGGGAAGATGACTTGTAGAGTAAAATAAGGAAAGAAA